AGCTTAACATGAGATGGGTCACGTATCATGACAATATACAACAGTGTGACTTAAATGGAGGAAATGCCATATTATAGAATAGTGTTAAGCATATTGTAATCATCTGGCATGACCAGAAGCAAACTGTTCATGCAATACATCTCAAAAATATCAATGACCCAAAACCACGCTGTAAAGAAGAATGGACCAAAATACCTTCTAAGGGTTGTACACGTCTGACCAGCAGCTACAGGAAGCTTTTGCTTATTACTGATAGAGGATCAATGCAAATTTAACAGTTTGGAAACTTGTGCTGGTTTAAATAGTGCCATTGTTTGTCTGCGGGTGTGTTCCCCCACCCCGTGCTTATTATTATTTAGATAAAAATCAGATCACATATTAGGAGAAATACAGAAATCCAGATAAGACCAAAGGCTTCACAGTATTTTCTCACAATTGTACATGCTGAACTTGTACCTCCACATGAAAAAAGACCTTCATGTTTTATTTACCAGTCTCCGGGTCCCCAGAATCAACAGAAAGCCAAGTTCCTCATGGTTTCTTCATCTCTGTCGTTCAGGGGAAGAGTGCAAACCACATGCAAAAAGCATCTGGAAAAGTATGCATCTGCTCCTGTTTGGAATGGGAGTCTTGTATTAGCAAACAGGCCCAATGACTACACTCACCCCTGCAGGGAGGCAGTGGTGGGGGTGCCCATGCACAAGATAACTAATGCGTGAAATAGTTGCATGAATCTAGTAAATGCATCTCTGCAATTTAGGCTTCACAGAGCTCCTTTGAAACAATTCCTACAGCGCTACACCACCTTATTCCTGCCTAAAATACTCCTACTCTTGGTTGGAGTTACTCCAGTTCCATTTCCTGTCTTTCTAGATTCCACCTAATCCCTCACAGTCGATGCCTTCTTACCTACAGATTTACACAGCCAGCAATAACAGTAGGTTTGACTACTAGTTAAGGGAGACCTCAGGTTTTGCCACTAAGCCTGAGGCCGACTGAAAAAGCCATCTCACTTTCACAGTCATTAAAGCAGGAAAGACCAGCTATGGAAATCCATGTCAAGCAGTGATGAGGGGCAGAGGGACCCACTGTCTGTGGGGCATTATGCAGGTTGCATCAGGATTGGGCCCATGGGGTGTAACTGCTCCATGGAAATACTGAAAAATGCTTAGGAGGATCATTACACTTTATCATTCATGTGGACACCAATTTCAGTGGCTCAGAAAGACTACAAATTACATGACAGGTCATAGGAACGTCATATACCTGATCCGCTATCAAACCATTTGGCAGATAACTTAACTTCACAAAACATCAGTTAATCAGGGTTGGTTTTGCGTCAGAGAGACACAGAGATCATATATTTAAACCAAAGTGCTGGCCTTTGACAAGGCTATAAAATTTATTGTGAAGCACAGGAGCAGATCTTGTTATGTGACTGGAGCCAGTGATTTTTTTCCTGATCCCTTGTGCTCCTGAGAACACACAGGTGTGATTAAGACTGGCATACTGAAAACGATAAAGAAAGCCAAGTGAACAAACACAGTGACGGACACATATACCCACAGTTCATCACTGAGCGGGTCTTGGCCACTAGAGATCAGCTCTGATATTGTCTTTCAGCAATCATAGGTCCTGTAACTTGTCTTTCTTCTATTGTTCCCCATATGGACAAGGGCCAACATCAACATCGTCAGAAAAGCACATGGATGGCCATTAAATGAACTGTTTCTTCCTCTAGTGGTCCACAAGAGAAGTGCACTATGGTCTAAGGTGATAAATCACACTTTTTAAAGTGACAAATGCATAACTATAAACATGTGAATTTAACAGTAACTTGTGCTACACTATATGGGACTGCCTCAAACAGACACAAATAAAAACAATAGCCCCAAATCAACATTTTACACCTGCAAAACCTACAAACCTGATACTTAGGTCAGAGAGGTTCTGGGATATGATGACATCAACATATCAGAGACACCTAATAGAGGACAAAGAGACGTGGTGGTGGCATTGCACCCAAATGAGCACTGTAAGTCATTGAGACCACAGAGCAAAAAGACAACACTGCTCCAAGCTGAACCTTCTGAATGTAGGCATGCTGAAGTGCTGGTGAGACTGCAGTTTTGTCAAACGCCAGAGCTGGCAGAAACATTATTACTAATGCACACTGATGCTAAAGAATCTGATCTCTGGAGTCACTGACTTACACCCAAGTGTGCAATATATTTGCAACTACTCTCATAGTGAATGTGGATGCACAAACCAGTGAACTAACTTCATTTTATTAGGTCATCAAAAAAATATTAGCTGGCACAAGACAAAACCCGTATACACAGCATGGGTGCGGTGGGGGATCTGGAAAATCTGGGTTCAATTTCACAAAAAAAATTAGTTTGACAATGAAAGAAAAATCAGTGGGTGGAGTTGATGCAGAACAGAAATGAATTAAAAACCAATGAAGATCAGTGATACAAATGCATTTCATCATGCAACATGAATGCTGTACAATTTGAGCATTCCTTTATTGCCCCCTGATGTACACTCTTGGTATTGCAAAGAATCATGTCAATATATGATCTAACGTCAAGTTATGCCAGATCGAATCACGGCTGACTGGACTGAAATCCATGGTCGACAGTAAATAATATACACTGATCAAGAGATACCTGATATTAGGCATATTAGGATGTCAGCAGTGTATTGCTTAGTGTAACAGGTGCAGGAGAATGGGCAGCACTGTCTGTATAACGACCCAATGTGCATATCTAACTTGTAATACAGTATGCATACAGTAATGTATATGTGATGGACTACTACAATATCGATTTATGCCAAAACTGCCTTGGATTCGCGGTCCAGGTTCCAAATGTAAATGCAAGTCAACACAAGGCTGTATTCAACTCACCACACAATATTCTAAAAGACAGCAGATGTATTGGTTAACCATCCATTATTCATACACCTTATCAGTAAAGGGCTGCAGTGGAGTGATGAACAGTAACTCCTTTATTTTTTGCACCATCTCACGTTGCTATTAATAAACGTTTTAAAAATCCATACAAAATAAAATGAAGCACCAGTCAGAAAAGTGGCGAACGCGCATGCACACACACAGATGCGCACAAAGACACATGTATTCAAATCTTTGTGGGGAAACTCCATTCATTTCTATGGGCATAACTCTAATCCCAACAATGACAACCTTAACCCCTACCCTGCCCTAACCTTACCCATAAGTAAGCAAACATAAACTTTTGGCACAGATTTTTTTAAGTTTATAAGTTGGTCTTCCAATATAAATGGGGACCATCCATTCATTTCTATGGGAAAAATCATAATCCCAATCACGACACCCTTAACCCTCTACCCTAACCTTAACCATAAGTAACCAACACAAATACAAGACTTTTCGCATTTTTACTTGTTGATTGCATTCAGATTTTTAGAAAACTGAGGTTATCCAAATGGATACCTCAAAAGATGTCCCCAAAAGTAGGGAAATTTCAGGTTTTACTACACTTTAGGGACAATTTGGTCCTCAAATGTGATCTATGCAAACACACACACACATATACACTCACCTAAAGGATTATTAGGAACACCATACTAATACGGTGTATGACCCCCTTTCGCCTTCAGAACTGCCTTAATTCTACGTGGCATTGATTCAACAAGGTGCTGAAAGCATTCTTTAGAAATGTTGGCCCATAT